TGTCTCCCCCCTCACCGACGCCTCTTCAGGTGCCGTGACTCACTCCCGGTTCGGTTCGACAATCATTGGAACCGACCGCTGTGCAAAAGCGGAAAAAAGACGCCGTAAAACAAAAACAAAAAAACTTACGTGTAAACCAGGAATAAAGTGGTGGAACCCACGAGCAGCGTGGCAGCGGTGGACACGGGGATGAACCGGGCGGCTTTGAATCTCGGTCCGACGCTGCTGGACATCCTGCAAACGTCCGCATTCCTCGGTGGTGGATTATTATTCCCGCTGGAAACTCATGGAGGAGACGCGCCGAGAGAGTCCCCCCGGGGGAGCAGGCCTCGGACCTCGGAGGCTCCGACCAACACCAACAGAGCGCGGTCGGTCGGTCGGTGCTGGAGCAGGAGCTGGAGCCGGAGCTGGAGCCGCAGAGATCCTGACGGAGGCTGGAGCAGGGAAGGCTGGAAATCCCTCCTCCCTGTCGGACACGCCCACTGATGACGACACTGGACGCAGCGGCAGCGGCAGGGGAAAGAAACCGGGAGCGGGGACAGGGGGGGTCGGAGCCGCTCCACCACCTACTGTACCGTCAACTGCACGAAAAAACAAACAAACAAACAACGCGACAACTGTAACAATATCATGCATTTTTTATATATACCATGCAGTACCTGGTGGTCCCTATAGGGGGCTCCAAGGACCTCCTGTTGAATCAAATCTGGTTTGAGAATTAGGGATAGTCGGAACGGCCTCAAGTATCGTAAAACAGAGATAATCTGGTTTTCTACTCGGCAACTGTTGCTGTGTAGTAATGGGGCGAGAGCGCCATCTGGTGGCACAACTCGAAAACAAAACTAAACCGACCTTTTTTCTTTTTTTTTTGAATTCCCCGGGCTGCCGTAGTGGTTGGAAGGAAACGGATGCGATATCTGCGTCTTTGTAATTTTTTAGTTTGAAGCGGCGTGACGTCACACAGGAGAGCTGTGTACCGGAGACAGGGTCGGAGGTTCGATCACCGACAGCAAAGGATCGAACCGCCGGAGGAAGTTAGCATCAAGTTAGCATCGTTAGCATAAGCGTTATCGTCGGCGTCAGTTAGCTCCGTTAGCTCAGGCTAGTTAGCTCCCGCTGCTAGCACTCACAGAATGTCCTCCAGGAAGACTCTCCGGCTCATCTGCGGCTTCGCCGGCGGCTCTGCCGCGCTCCTGTTCACCGCCGCTGTCGCGGAGTCCCGGGGATATTTCGCGGAGCGCCCCGGTGAGGCGACCGGGTGGTGGTCGGCGTTCGGCGTCCTGCGAGCCGCGCAGCCGGCGTGGACGTCCGTCTCACCGGCTACGTCCGGAAACTCCTGGGACTTCAACTGGGACAAGTACGAACTCTGGTGTCGGTGGCGCTTGCGTTCTTAGTCTGCGCTATTTTTTTCGTTTAAAATCGTCAATCCTTACACCGCTAAAATTGTCACACAAAAAATAACACAAATAAATAACCGTTCACATTCACACTAACGGTCGGTGCAGATGGGCAAAGTAAGGCCCGGGGCCCGCATGCGGCCCGTTCAGCTTTTTAATCCAGCCCAGCAAACTTTTGCTTATGATATATTTACATATATATATATTATATTATACTTATGCCTTTCCCCTGCAATACCCACGTTTCCCAATAGATAGCATAGGAAATGATAAAGCAACAATCAACTTCATCCCGCTGGGAATCGAACCCATTACACCTGCTGTTATTATCGAAGTAATTCTCTGGATTTACTTTCACTAAATTAATTGTGATTTTTTTTTAGGAGAGAGCCGTCCGCGCTGAGAAAGGAGAAGGCGTCGGACGACCCCACCTTGGAGGCGGACAACGGAAAAGCGAAGGCGACGCGGAACATCCTCCTCATCCGACACTCCCAGTACAACCTGAGTGGGAACGGTGACAAAGAGAGGAGCCTCACTTCATTAGGTCTTTGTTTTTATTGAACATGTGGACTGACCCCCACTGCTGCCCCCTGGTGGTGTGGTGTGGTGACCGTCTCTGTGCCTTCTTCACCTGCAGGTCGAGAACAGGCCGAGTTGACCGGTGAGAGGTTGGCAGCGCTGGGGCTCAAGTACGACGTCTTGGTTCACTCCAGCATGACCAGAGCCACGGAAACGGCTCAGATCATCAGCAAACACCTGCCGGGTGAGGAGCAGATACGGCGCCACCTCGTGGCGGCACCCTGGAGACACCAGGGCAGAGCTCAAAGATAGCCTCGACATCGAGAAGCTAAAAAAATTAGATACATTTTTAGAATTTAAATCATGTTCTAAATTAAGGTTTAGAACATAAGACTGTTGTTTGCTCCTCCTCCAGGGGTGGAGCTAAAGAGCTGTGATTTGCTGAGGGAAGGCGCCCCCATCGAGCCAGTTCCTCTCGTCACTCATTGGAAACCCGAAGCCGTGGTGAGAACGTTCAGCTTTACTCCAGATATTTCGGAAACTCTCAGTCACGATTTTCACTGCCAAAAAAAACAAGCGTGATGGCACAGAAACGTTTTTTTAGGACAGCGTTTCCCCAAACTTTTTTTCTGGGGTCCCATATTTTAAAAATCACGAACTTTCGCAACCTAAATCAATAGACAATATTCGTAAACTCCTGGGAAACACGATGCGAGACGACCCCAGAAAAACCCCCAAAAAGCTCTCATTCACAATTTTCACTGCCAAAAAACTAAGCGTGATGTCACAGAATCGCTTTTCTGGGATAACGTTTCCCCAAACTTTTTTTCTGGGTTCCAGTATTTTAAAAATCACGAACTTTCGCAACCTAAATCAATAGACACTATTCATAAACTCCTGGGAAACAAGAGGCGAGACGAGCCCAAAAAACTCTTGCGACCCAGTCTTTGGGAAACGACGTTTTAGAAGTTCGGGTCGTAAACGCCGCAAGCATTACTTCCTGTTTGCGCACGTCCCTTCTCAGCCACTCCGTTCTTCTCCAGCAGTACCACGAGGACGGCGCTCGTATCGAGGCAGCCTTCCGCAAGTACATCCACCGCGCTGACCCCAAGCAGAAGGAGGACAGCTACGAAATCATCGTGTGCCACGCCAACGTCATCCGCTATTTTGTGTGCAGGTTTGTGCGATTTAAGGATAGAATGTTACGTGAAGTAAATATCGGTGGGAATCAAACTTTATCCTCCTCCTCTTCTTCCTCTCAGGGCTCTTCAGTTTCCTCCCGAAGGCTGGTTACGTATGGGCTTGAACAACGGCAGCATCACGTGGCTGACCATCAGACCCAGTGGCAGGGTGGCCCTCAGGACGCTGGGGGACTCTGGGTTCATGCCCCCCGATAAACTGAGCCGCACCTGATGACACATACACACACACTGGACTCTGTGTTCGATTCCCTTCAAGTGTCTTGAGAATGTCGTTTTTTTTACCGTCCTTGTTGAGAGGTTTGATTCTGTGCCATAAAGGAAAAAAACAGTTTAAAATGTTTAAAATAGGAGTCGGCTAATGTCGATGAAAACTTTGAGAAATAAGAATAAATACGTTTGTTAAATCTTTCGTACGGTACTGGAGTGGTGTCTGTGGAACAGGTTCTTCCCACGTTCTGGTTCGACACCTGAACGTCTCTTGAAGCCTAAGTAGGGACCTGACGTCTGGGTTTAACACTGTGTCACAAGCAACATTTTTTAGGCGCATACCGCCACCTACTGTTCATGAGTGTGTAGTGTCACCGGCATGATCGGTGACATTTTAAATAACACCTGACACCTTGATGCGCGGGTTATTTAAAAAAAAATTAAACCGTAAATTGTATCGATTTTAATCGATTCACGATGCATCGTTACACATCGCTTCACATTTCTTCTGTTGCTGTGGAATGAACAGCGCAAAGATACATTGACAGCAAAGGAGGAGCGATGTTTTATTTTGGTAGATGAAAAAAAAACAAAAAAAACGGGACGAACATACAAGATCGAGAATCGTTAAGATTCAATTCGCAACGTCAACAACAACAACAACGACGACGACAACACAATGGTTTCAACCAAGTAGTTTATTCTCCCGTAGAAAGGTTTTGTTCACAAAAAGATTACATTCAAAACACGTGGTTCAGAGTCGAGTGGGGCGGAAATGACTGGCCTGGTTGTGACGTCACTGTCGATCCCTCACTTCATCCACAAATACTGACATTTAAGATCAGCCACGTACACAAGTTCGTCGTCTTTTTTTTTTTAAACTATCACTTAGCTAAAATATGACTGAGAGAAAAGAACAGCAGCACCACCCAAAGGACAGGAGGTGAACTGGAGCAGGTGTACACGTCAACTCCTTTCCCATTTTTTTTTCAGACGTTTTTTTAAAGTAACTGTAAAGAAACAGAAGATCGTCCTCGACATTTCTCCGATAACGCTCATCTGTTTGGCGGTCATTTAATTTCATACAAATTCCTGCAGAGGGCGCTAAATACCACTTTTGAATTCAAACTGGAATCCAAAAACCAGGAAGTCTGGAACATTTTGAACGTTAACAATGATCTTTTGGTTCTTCACAGTCACTGAGTAAAAACTCCTGAAAAATTGTTTTTAATAAAATTTGCAACAGCCAAGAAAAAGCATCAGAAAACACCGAGACCATAGGAGACCCTGGGGTCTGGATGGAGGAGGAGGACACGGAGGACAGGACTGAGAAGGTGGAAGCACCACACCTGAAGGAGGCCGCCAAAAAACAACAGACGAGTTGCTGGGAGTCGGAGTCTCTGTGATCTGGATGTAATGGCGGAGGAACGCCACCGGGGCAGAAAGCGCCACAGGAAACTGCAGTGACCTGAGGACGAGTCCAGCTGAGACACGCCGGAGACATTCGCCGTGAAGAAACTTTTGTGCCGTCTCATCTCATAAAAACCCTGGCTTTTCTTTCCACAGAGTGGCTCCCTCTGCTGGTAGGTAACCGTGGAAACAGTGGACACAGTTTTATATACTGTACATTTGGGGGTGGGGGAGTGGTGATCATTGGTGTCCAGTCTGAGGAGCAGTGTGTGTTCAACTGGACTATGGAAGTGAAAGTCGGTTTGAAAAAAAATGGTTCTTAGCCAAAAAGCTAGGGGGCGCTAGGGAGGAGGCATTCGTGGTTGGACTCGCATTTGAATTAAGTCCACAGCCGCCGTTGGTGTCTGAGGGACGTGGAGACGAACGGAGACGGGACGATGTCGTCTTTTTACGCGCGCACACACAGACTCGACACGTTCACGAACGGAGAAAACAGGAAGTGACCGTCTGCTCTCGCGCCATCGTTAATACAAACAGGTTTCGTTTTGTGCTACTGACTACCAGACAAAAATATTATTATTATTAATTCTTTTTTTTTTACCTATTTAAACATTGACATTTGAACTCCTTGTTCAGTTGACGGAACATGGTTGTCATCCAAACGAGCAAAGGTCAGAGGTCAGGGAGTTTGTTGAGTTGAACTGAGTCAGAATTAGCGAAAACCTCAGACCGCAGGCATGTCGCTCTGCACGGATACGCACGATACATCAACAATGAGACATCGACATCACGGCGTGATGTGATGTAGTACTCCTGTGTAACAGCGTAGTAGTAGTAGAAGTAGTAGTAATAGTAGTAGTAGTTGTTGTAGTAGTACCAAACATCTTTAATACAAATCTTTCAGACACTTGTGCATATTTCTGTTAGGTATGTCGTCGATGAGCTCCGGCCGCAGTTACCTCACTGTCAGCAAGGGGGTGGTGGTGAGGGCGAGGAGGGAGGGTCATGGCTGCAGTGGCAGTAGACGGGGGAGGGGCAGGTTTTTGGGGGCAGTTACTACGGTTGCTCACTTAAGTGCATGAGGCGAATGCGCTGGATGTAGCTAGCGTTAGCCGGGCTATAGCGACTGGGGCTGAAGTCCGGTGAGGCGGCGTGCCGAGCTGGACTGAAGCGACCACTGGGGGACATCAGATCGCTGACCGGTGAGCTGTGAGCCTGGTGGTGGTGGTGATGATGATGATGCATCCTGAGTCGTGGTTTGACCACCACAGGACTGGGCCAGCTGCACCAAAACACAGTTAGCATGAAACAACGTTAGCATGACCGCCGCTCTCATCGACCACACAACCGAGAGGCGGCGCGAGCATCGGTGCGAGCCCTTTCGCGGCACAGCAAAAGGGCTTTGATGCAAACCTAGCGCCATCTAGTGGATAGAAAAGGGAACTACACACTTTTTAAAAGACATTATAATAGTAACACTGAAGTATTTTAAGTGACGCGGTCTTCGGTCAGATTCAAGTAACGACTGCGTCCACTCACCCCTGCATGTCCGATGCGGCGTACGACGTCATTGTGCTCTTCCACTTGTGGATGCTGGGAAACTTCTGCGGGTCGATGTCGACGCCCATTAGGGCCAGCAGGACCTCTCTGTCCAACTTGGTCGGCGAATCCCTGTGAGGAGAGGGGACACTGGGTCACTGGCTCCGCCCACTGGCAGATCAGCATCACCTCCAAAAATCATCGGCAATAAAGTATTGTTTTAACTTTTACAGATTTATCCTCTTCAGAGGTTTAGGGGTGCTCAACCACTGGGTCGTGGACCAGTATTGGTCATGTATCACAGGGCCACAGAGATAAAAAAACAATAAAACACACCTGTTTGAAGAATCTTGTCAAAATAAAAGCCTTTGCAGAGCTACTTTAGAAAGGTCAAAGGTCACGGAAGAGACCCTAGGGCAGCCTAGAACTTCAAAATAAAAGTTCCACAGTCCTACTGAAAGTACACTTTTAACACCACCAGCTGATTACTATTTGCTGATAGGCCGAGTTTGACCCTGATGACCTTAAGATTCGTTTTTATTTTCTCCTGATTTTCTTTTTCCACCTTGACTGACAGGAAACTACGGTAAGACCGTTGGGAGACGCTCCCTGGCAACTCACCCGTCTATGAAAAGTCCTCTTCCTATGTGGGGAGGTGTCCTGGAAAAGAACTCGTGGGAGTTATCCAGGGACTTGTAGGAAGACCCCGAGGACCCTGAGCTGCTCAGATCTCTACCTCCGTGGTCCCACGACTTGGACCTGGCACAGAGGCCGCGCCCCCCAGATACAGATCCTTTAGTCCTGCTCAACAAATCCTGGCTCTCCTTCGCTTCAAAGTACTCCTCCGAGCTGCCGCTGCTGCGCTTCTCCTCCGCCTCCCCCGCCTCCGTCCTCCAACTCGGGGCGTCCAGGGCCTCGCTGTCCTGAGGGCTGTGACCCAGAGACAGGCGGACAGGCCCGGGACCCGGATCTGTGACCTGGCTGTCCCCGCTGCTCTTCCTCTCCCTGCAGCCAATCGGATTATCCAGTGACTCCTGAAGGGACATGCGCTCAAACTCCACCAGGAGGTTGGAGACAGGCGACAGGAGGGCGGAGGAGGGAGATGAGGAGGAGGAGGAGGAGGACGTGTGGGGGGACACTTTCTCCCCGCTGTGCATTTTGTCTCTGGAGGACGAGGAGCACAGGCCGTTTTTACAGAGCGCAGCCGGCGACGGGAGACCGTTGCCGCAGGAGCAGAGCAGGTCCTGTTCGGCCGCCGTCTCGATCAGTTCGGCCTCGTGGTGGTGCAGCGAGATGGGCAGGATGTGGAAGTCCAGGCCTCCTACGGCTCCCGCCAGTCCATCCTTGAACGTGGAGGAGGTGATGCTGGTTCGAGCCGCGTTCTGCCGGTTCTTGATCTCCTCCAGGCTGATGTCGTCGCCCTCGTCCAGGAAGGCGCCCACGGATATGGAGTTGCAGAATTTTTTGGGTTTGCCTGAAACGGAAAAAACCCAAACCATGTCAGAAGAACTTCCTCCCCCCGGCCGCCTCCACGTCAGACTTGGTCTGAATAACACGCACCTGGGGAGGGCCGTTTGAACCTGTTGCTGGTCTCGTTCTCCGCAGTCTCCTCGTGAGTCTTCGGACTGAAGTCCTTCCTGCTCAGATACTCCTCCAGCTTCCTGAGGCCTTCGTTTGACGACAGGTCCAGAAAACTGTCCAGGAAGTCCCAGTACTCCGCCCAGGGGTGGCCCATCTCCCTGGCTAGGTCTCTGGAAAGAAAAAAAAAAAAAGACAAAAAAAAAGTTTGTCGCCATCTAGCGGCTTCAACTGAGAATGCACTTGCACCAATATTTGACAGGCCAGATTAGACGCTCGTACCTGCCCACGCGCTCTGCCCCACGCTCTGGATCCGACTTGAGGATGTGGTGCACGTGGTCAGCTCGCTCTCTAGGTGGTGTCTTCCAGGATCGCCGAAAGTCCTCCGCCTGTAGAAACGTTGATGAAGCGTTACAAAGGTCTGAGGACAACTCTCAGTTGTCGTCAGTTGGTCCAGGTCAACACTTACCTTAGACGGGCTCAGCGGACCGGCGAAGGCCGCGACGGCCATCACCGGGTCCTTGGGACTCCTGGTGTGCTGCTGGATCAACGACAGACTTTCCGACGAGTCAGGCAACCACGGGTCACCGATGATGGGCTGAGAGCTGTTGTCGGTTGCGCGTAACAAAGGTATGTAGCAACGGTCTGCGGGACAGCAAAAAAAAAAAAAAAAAAAAAAAAAAAAAAGTTCCAAAAATATTGTTATGATCACCTGGTTCTGTGAGCCGCACCGCCGCACATCCTTACCCTCCAAATATTCGTTTATCTTCTGCTCCGTCTCTTGGGTTTTGTTTTGTCGGCTACAAATAACCTTCGGAAGAAATGATTGGTTTAGCCGCAGGACTGATGTCAAGAACTGTTTTTTTTAGACATAAAATATCTTAAAGCTCCTTACGTCACAGGGCCTCTGTCCCTCTTTATTCTTACAGTTCTTATCGATGTCGGGATGCGAACACAAGACGTTGACTACCTCTGGGCTCCCGAACTTACAGGCAAAATGAAGCGGGGTTTCGAAGCCCTGCGGGGTAATGGACAGAAAGAGAGAGACACGGATCAGCTTTGACCCGTCAGAACAAACGCTTCTGACGGTGTGACCTCTGTGACCTTACGGTCTTGTCCGGAGTGTTGAGGTAAAGATCCACGATGTAGCGGATGCGTTTCTTCAGCATCGTCTCCTTGTCGTCCGGGTACATGAGACGCATGAAATCGGGGTTCTCCAGAATGTCCAAGAGCAGCTGAGCGACTCCAGCCTGGTTCTGCTTGGCCGCGACGTGCATCACGTTGTACCGACACCCCTCCTACACCAGGGGACGGAGCAGAGACAAGGGATGGATCAGGAGAAACCACCAGAAATGGTGGGGGGCAGAGCTAAGAACAGTGTCACAAACTTTAGAAACGCATTTGAAAACTCCCACTCGCCTTCATGTCAACTTTACCCTACGCTAAGCTAGGCTAGGCTAACACCGCTAACTAACTCGGTCTTCACTTTACAGGCATCCGCGATTCCTATGAAACGTAACACTGCCACCTGGTGGTTTACAGTTAAACTGCTACTACTATTTCTACTACCTGTCTGTAGGTGTCAGTGTACAGACCAATCAGCAGCCTCACCTGCACAACGGTGGGATTATCCCCCGAGCCAATGAGATACCGGGGGTTACTCCAGACCAGTTTACTGAAGGTGACCTCGTCGCCCTTCTCCACCGATCTCCTCAGTTTGGCCGTCAGGTCCTGCGTACGTGGGCTCTTGAAACTGTTCGCCCGCTCTCGATTCATGGTGTCCACCTCCACGTTGTCTTTAGCAGAGCACAGGCCGGCTTTGACATGACACACGCTGGGGGTTGATTTACTCGGGGACGGGAAGTAGTCGCAGATGCCCTTGGCGAACTTCTCCGCATCCTCCCGGTTGGTGAACGCTTTGAAGCGCGCTCCCTTCATCTTCTTCACCGCCTGCAGGGCGTCTTTCTTGTCTGTGTACACGTGCGCTCGCTCTTAAAGGACGAGAAAATGGAAATATCAATACATTAAAATTTTGCGATATTTATCACTGGGGAAAAAAAAAACCAACTCAATATATCGTTAGACCTGTAGCATCGCAGTATATCATATCATTGCCCGGTAGCGCGATACGTATCGTATCATAGCCAGATTCTTGACGACACACACCAATGTGTCTGTTCGTCACAAAGACAACGATCAGAACGTCTGATGTAATTTTTTTAGTTTACTGATGAAACGGAACCTTTAGAAGCGTATCGTATCATCGCCAGATTCTTGACACAAACCATTTTTGGTTTTACCACATAATAGTACAAAATAGTAAAAAATTGGCAAACCTAGCCTTACTCACCACTCCTTGCCATCACGTCCTCCCACTGCGGACACACGCCATAATAAAAGGTGGGAAACTCTTGAGCGAGCTGTGAAGGCGTTTCCGGCGTGGAATCAGAGCGACTGCACTGAGCAAAGCTGTTGTTCGTAGCATCTTTTCCGGAGAGATCCTCCTCCTCCGGGGGGTTCAGACCCACGCCGTAGCCAAAGTCCGACTCTTCACTGGCAGCGTTCCAGGAGGGGCCGCTCATCGCAGCGGCGGTCGGTGTGACTCCTGAGCTGACGGGCGGCTCCGGAGCCGTGCTAACACTAACGGCTGCTGAAGAGCCATTGTCCAAAACAGCGACGTTGTTCTCCGTCCCCGTCAGAAAACGGGCTAACTTCCTTTCATTGGTGGCCCGGGTGGTCGCGGTGATCGGGCCACACTTGAGGTCCACTCTGGCAAACTCTTCACGCAGTTCATCGGAGCTGAGACTCCTCAGCCTGTCCAGAACCTCCTCCATTCTTCAGCTTTCTGCGAGACAGAAAAAGTGCAAAGTCCTTCAGTTCCATGACCCGAGAAATGTAAAATTAAATGAACGACCATGTAACGCCACGGCTAGCCAACAGTTAGCGCTCTGTAAAGAAGCCCACATCTGATTATAAGATATAGATGTATATATATTATTATTTTCCAACAAAAGAAATACATTACCAAGATTACAAGTACAAGTATTACAGTAAAAAAACAACCTAAAACTACACAGTTGAAAGCAGATGCGAAAATAAAAATCGAAGTACGAGAGCAGTCGTCATGTAAGAGATCGTTTTAAAAACACTGCACTTACTCTACGTGCACGCTAAAAGCATGCGCACTGATCTCCCGTTCAATAAAAACAGAATGATTCAATTCGAGTCCCACACATTAGCTACGCCGATGTTTCATGTACCTCCACGGGCTCTGAATACGCAAAATAAATCGATTAAATTCACAACAATTCACGTTATACTCTTTGTCAACTAACAACGAGTACAACACACGTACCCGTCAGAGTACTGTGTGTACTGTATCTGTATCAACCCCACCACTGGCAGGTTAGCATCGGTTAGCTATCATGCTAGCCTAGTAAGTAAGCAGAGAACGTGTTTAGACAGATGAAGCTAAATAAACGGAAACGGCTCAAGAGTTCGATTGAACGGTGCCCGGTTCTGATCGTGTCGTTGACGAATTTGTTAATGGCACTAAAATAAAAACAAACAACAACAAAAAAAGTTACAACCAGATCTAGTCCGCTATATTCGCACGCTGTCACGCCCAAGTTTGTCATTCGAGGTGAGTTCAACGTTTCGGTACGTCTTCGCGGCGATGGCGCCGATAAAGAGGTGACACGCGATGAAACAAACACGGTTCGGTACTCACCGGCGGACGTGCTCATTCTCGGAGGCACAGCTGGGGGAACGGGGGGGGCGGGAGGGGAGCCGCCCGTTATTTTACACGGCTACACATCGGGTTTGACACAAAGCTGGAGACGGTCTGGAAGTCTTATTGTTTACAACATAATCTGCGCGTGCGCACATCACAGGGAGGACGCACGTTGCGTTTACGGACTAGTAGGAAAAATCCGAGTCAAAATGTTACAACTAACTGTATCTTTGAAAAGTGCAACTTTCTACTAAAGACTTCCTGTCACACCATCCACACGTTTCTCTTACTTTAATCAGTATATTTTCTTTGATGACGTCATAACCAGTGGTCACTTTAGGGTTTTATCGAGTTGGTAATTTACATTCGGGGTAAGTTGACAATGTTGGTATTGTCATCGGTATCAGCTGACGGGGCTATTAATAACTTACATCGGTAATGTCGCCCGACTCTCTGGGGAGTAGTTATATTTAATGACCCCACGTTAAATATAAAATACAAATATATAAATATATGTGTATTCTCATTATTATTATTACAGTTGAGTATTAAGTACAGAAACAACAAACTAACACAGCTCAACACACGTCTCAGTATATTTTTAATATAATAGTTATACGTAGTAGCTGCTCACTGTTCCGTGTCTTCGTCAGTTTAGTCTCATTAACTTCGAAAACACTAAACACTAAAAACTAAAAAACAAAAAACAAAAAACACGCTACAAGAAAAAAAAGAGCCTGTTGTGGAGCATTGCTCTTTAAAGATCCGTAACGGAGAGTCAGAGTGACGTAAACCACACGCAATCGAGTGACAACTGCAGGCATGCTAACTGTCATTAGCTTTGCGAAAGCTAAAAAGCTCACAATTACGCGCCACCGGTTCACAAAGTCGCAAAGCCATGTTATAACGACAACACTGTTCTGTTTTTCTAAAGTTGTAATATTACATCAGACGAGAGCAGCGGTCAATAAATCCTAAAATTAACCCAAGCACGCTCACCTCCGCCGCTCTCCTCGGGTGCCGTAGACTGTGGTGTTTTTCACCGCTGCCGTTTCAAAATGCACAGCGGTTAGGACCCGAGGTGGCTTACGCGGTTGCTTATACAGAAATGCCGCTTAATGGCAACTCAAGCACCAAAATGTCTGTAAAATCGACGACAGATGTTCTCAAAAATGTTGCGACAGGTGTCGGGTAATTTCAAATGTCGCATTTTAATAACTAAAACGAGAGACACATCTCTCAGGCATATCGGACAGCTCGGAGACATTATCGTCATATCTTTGTCCACCGCTGAGCCGCGTTACGTTTTATGTTTTACGGGGTTTTACAACCGTCCAAAAAAATGAACAATTTTGAAATAAGAGCAAACGTAAAATTTTTAACCAAACTCGAATGGAAACCTGGTAAAATCGTTGAAGCTTTACAACAGGTTTACGGGGACTCGTCACCGTCCAGAGCCGTGGTTCATGCCTGGGTCAAGAGATTTAAAGAGGGTAAGGAAGAGCTCCAAGACGAGCCGAAGGACGAAAAGGCTTCCGCTGCAAAAAACGAACAAATGGTCGAGCTGGTTAGGGGTCTGGTGGAGGAAGATCAACAAATCACAGTCGACGCCATCACCAACGAAGTCGGAATTCCGTATGGGTTAGCCTTTTCGATTCTGACAGAAGACCTTGGTCTACACAGGCTTTCGGGTCGCTGGGTCCCCAAAAGCGTTCACGAGGACAAATCGATTGACGTATCGGCTGGGAAAACAGACCGTTCTGACGATACATCGAGTAATTGAACCGATAATTTCAGCAGCGTAGGCGATACGTGGATTTACACTTCAATCAAAAACAGTGGGAACCACTGGGAACCAACAGTAACTGCAGGTCACTTAAAGATGAAACCGATGTGAAAGAAATCTCTGTTTTTGTGGGGTTACAACGGAACAGGTTCTCCAGGGACAGAGAACAGAGAACCTCTGACACCTGAGTCCGAGACAGTTCGGGATTTGAGACATTTTTTTGAAAGGAAACTGGATTTCATCCAACACCTGTTGCCAAAGACATCGTCTGGAATTCTACAATTCCGGAATTATCGGATGGAAACACATTAGACATTAAAGAACACAGGATTTATAAATAATATAAATACCCCGGATGAGCAGGTCATCTCTCCATAGGTTGCCATGTTGGAGCCTGACGGTTTATTTAAAAAAAAAAAAAAATTAAAAAAAAAGCTGGAAGTACGTAAACACCAATCACATTTGTTGTATGACGTTTTTAAAGTTTCCTCCTGCGGTTAAAGTAAAAAAAAAAACTGCAACATTATTTTAATTTGACTTTTGAACGTTAGCTCACTAGTGAGAGATTGACAAAATTTAACGAAATATAAACAGCCTTTAGCAGTGGTGCTTTAGCACTCTCTAGCGGTACAAGGCGTTATGTCTCCCAGTACAATTTTTTAAAAATAATTTTTAAATGTATATTTTTGCCTGCTCTGAGAATGTAAGGTTTGAGAAGTTGATTTTTTATTTTTATTTTACATCGATCTGCCCGGAGACTTTTAGCGGCTGGGATTTGAACCACAACCCATCTTGAGTACCCGTCTTGAACCTTTAACCTCCAGGTTTGCTCAGAACATTTCATGCACCGAACAGGAAGCTAATGTGACACGACAAAAAAGGAAAAGTGGAGTCGGGACAGAGGAATAGTGCAATTTTATGATCGATCCAATCACATCCCTGAAACAACAGAACACACGGGAATGAAGAGAGAGAGAGAGAACACATTGTTACCAAGTGGATGTACACAGCTGAGTCAGCGAGTATCATGTTACCGTGTTCTGGTACTGGTGTTACTGCGAAGGCGAGAAGATGCGGATCATATGGTATATGGTTAATTATGGCAATCAGAAACAAACCATCGTCTCACAAAACGTCAAACTGAGCTACGACGTAAAGGGTCCCTCACCCCTTCCTCCCCCTTTCCCCCACCCCTCCACAGTATCACCTCCACGTGTGGTTTCCCTTTGACACATTCACCGACGTTACCTTATTTAAACAGGTATAATACAGTTAAAATCA